AGAGCTTTTGTTGACAGATAAAATATCTGTCGATCGCAACGATATCATGGACGAGTATTCAAACAGAAATTGAGATCGCTGATAGATTTAATTGTAAAAAATTACTTTTGCGGAGAAACACGTTGCTTTATGTACACGTTTAAGTGGCAAAAGCGTGGTTTAGCGCACGCTCACATTCTAATATGGCTTTCCATCAAATTAACACCAGAAGAGATATTGATTCCATTATTTCAGCGGAAATTCCTGATCAAAACGTCGATCCGCAGCTGTTTCAAGTTGTAACTACGAACGTGGTGCACGGTGGCGACGTGCAATAAGGCTATAGGAAATAACTCCATATGGCTTTATTTCACTTCACACTGGAAATAAAGCCATATTTTTGCGTATGGTCTCATTTCTCACTGTGAAAGTTAAATAATACCATTATGACGTTATTACACATTTGATAATTTTTTGTGTAAGGTTTACCTAGTATACAGCTGGTGTGCATATTAAAACTAACTCCGTCTAAGGTCCACATTGCAAAAAAAAAACTTCCAAAAATGTCGGTACCAATCGGCGCGCTTTTATACTAATATTAATAATTTGCAGGCGCAAGGTTAATATTATTAACCGTACAAAAGTTACTCACAAAAAACTTTTTTGGAAAATAAATTAATTAAAAAATTTATTCAACAGGCACACATTTTTTACAACAAAGTATTGTTTATTTTGCTATTAAAAACAAGTTAACTATGTTCCCGAACTGATATGAGAAAAAGCAAAAGGGGGTATAGTGCCGCCACTTTATTTATATTTCGTAATAATTCAGTTTTTCTTATATGGCGTCTGCAATGTTGAGTACTTTTCAGTTTTGCCATTAACAATTTTATACACACTTCAATTTTATATATCTTACCGATTTAAAAGAAAAACTCATAGATGTATACATATGTATATATGTATAATAATTATATCAACATCATCATATCATCTTATATATAAATAGGTAATCATGGTTCCTTTACACCCCTTTTACGGCTAAACTATACCTATCATTAGAAAGTAATTTTATAGTGATGTGCAGGCAATTTTTAAATTTTAAAATATTGCGCAACATAAAGCGAAACAATCAACTAAAAATTGACACAAATACCAATGTCGTACATGTACATTACGATGATCCAAAAATACATGTGAAAAAGTTAAGTCAGAACCTTTACGCTCTCACCCCTAGGATTGTTCTATACAGCAAAAAAATATACCCTTGTTCTTTTATTTTGAAATCAAAAAATATTTAGAAGTCGCCCAAAGCGCCTAAAGTTTTCCATGTATTTAATATGGAGAAAAAACAACTTTTCGTAGAAATTGTATAGAACTCTTAAATCTCAATATTTTTCTATTTTTCTAAAACCCTACTTATCTGCAGGACACACGTGGGCTGGAAAAGCCCGTTGTCATACCATTGGCCGAAGCCATTTGTTTCTTTCCCTTCCTTAGTAATTGAACCACCGAGTGCGTTTTATATAGTACAAAAAGTCGAGGACGTTCGCCGGGTTCAAATCGGCTAAACAATCTAGAAAGTGCTTGTTGAAGAATCGGTTGCGCATGTTGGCCAGGGCGAGACAATGACAGAGATAGTGTTCGACGGTCTCCACCTCTTCCCCGTCTCTGCAAGTGCGACAAAAATCGTTGGTGGGGTATCCTAGCCTTTTTCCGTGTGTACCCATCAGGCAGTGTCCGGTGATAACCCCGACTACTAATCTGACAGAGGAGCGGTCCAGCCGGGTAAGAGCTATGGATCGCTTTACATCAATCTTTGGCCAAATTTGCCTGGTAGTATGGCAGGTGGTTTCCACAGCCCACCTGAAATTTACTTCCCCGACAAGTTCCGTCTTTAGTCTGTGTTTGCAGGAGGTTAGAGGTATGCCCGCATTCTGAGCAGAATTGACTTCAGATAATTCCGTCCCTCTCCTTGCCAGCTCGTCGGCTAGGCAGTTGCCAGGAATGTCCCTATGTCCAGGGACCCACACAACAGTCAAGGAGCATTTTGATGCCAGCAGATTGAGAATCTTCCTGCATTCTATGGCTACTTTGGACGTTGTTCCGTTAGAATTGAGAGATTTGATAGCAGCCTGGCTGTCAGAATAGATAGAAATAGGCCGTCCTGGAGGAGCGGAGGTTATAACCCACCGTGCCGCCTCCATTATGGCGTTTAATTCTGCTTGAAAAACACTACAATGGTCCGGTATGCGAAAGCTGAGGTTTAGCGCGAGTTCGTCAGAGTAGATCCTGCTACCCACTCTTTCGTTAAGCTTGGAACCATCTGTATATATGGCCGTAGACCCTGGGTTCAGGTCTGTGGCCCCTTCCCATTCGTTCCTCTCTGGGATCCTTGTGGAGAATTTGTTGTCTAAGCAGAGTAGAGGAGTATGGTATAATCTATCTGTCGTAGATTATCCGGTAGAGTTTTAAGTATTTTTGCGTGTCCGAACCCCAGGTCTCTCCACGGCTGGATTGTATTTAACCTGACCGCACTGCAGCCGGCACGAAATTTTCCGTAGAGATCCACAGGTGGAAGATTTAACATTATTTCCCGAGATTTGGTAGGTATAGTGGATAGTGCTCACGTGACTAGCATGGCAGTCGTCCTCTGCACCCGTTCCACCTTGGCTCTGGACAAAGTGTTGCTTAGCGCACGCCACCATACGGTGACCCCGTAGAAAAGGATGGGTTTTATCACAGCTGTGTACATCCAGTGTACTATGTGTGGTTTTATTCCCCATTTTTTGCCTATTGCCGTCTTACTTGCATAAAGGGCGGTATTGGCCTTTCTGGAGCGGTCTTCAATGTTTCGCTTCCAGTCAAGTTTTTTGTCTAGAATAATTCCAAGGTATTTGACCTCCGTTGAGAGAGTAAGTGCCACTCCGTTTAGGGTAGGAGGTTTAAATAAGGGAGTTTTATACTTCCTTGTGAAAAGTACCATTTCTGTTTTGGTAGGATTGACGCTAAGTCCACATTCCTTGGACCAAATATTTACCAGACCCAGTGCGTTTTGCAATAACTCACTCAGAACCTGAAGATGTTTGCCCGTTGCCACGATTGCTATGTCATCAGCGTACGCTATGGCTTGACAACCGGTGCCCTTTAGGCTTAGAATTTCATTGTTAGATTCCAGAGCAGAGGGGAGAGAACGCCCCCTTGGGGGGTGCCTCTGGTCACATACTTTGTGATGGAACCATCCCCCAGTTCTGATAGAGTAGTTCTCTTCTCAAGAAGGGAGCCCAAAAAATCTACCAGACCCCGCTGCACTCCCGCCATGAGAAGGGAGTTAACAACAGACTTCGGGTAGACATTGTCGAAAGCACCCTCGATATCGAGAAAAATTCCGAGCGTGTATTCCTTTAAGGCCAATCCTTTCTCATACGATACGATTTCATGGAGTGCGGCATCCACGGATTTTCCTTTGGAATATGCATGTTGGTTCGGGGAGAGGTTGTAATTTTTTATATTCCGTCGAATATATTCGTCGATGAGCCTCTCTAGAGTTTTAAGGAAGAATGAAATGAGGTTTATAGGCCTGAAATCCTTCGGTATCACATGTGCGGCCTTGCCTCCTTTTGGTAAGAATACAGCTTAGGGTTAGGCAGGATGTAAAAATCTGAGAAAGCAGGGGGCACAGTATGTACTTAGCTTCCTGTAGTTGAGCGGGAAAAATTCCGTCAAGGCCCGGAGATTTGTAGATCTGGAAGGACATTAAAGCCCATTCCACCCTCTCCTCACTTACGACGTCCCTAACGGTATCACCCAGAAGCAAGTAGGTCCTAGGACCGGGCGAAAAGCCGTAGGTGTCGTCCGAGCAGCCCGGGAAGTGAGTGCTCATAAGGACCTCCAGCATTTCGTTACATGATGTCGTCCAGTCACCGTTAGGCTTCTGGATAGAGTTCATACTCGAAGAGGATTTCGAGAGAACTTTCCTCAGCCTGTTGGCTTCAGAGTTCTCTTCTATGTTATTGCAGAAGTTTTGCCAAGATTCGCGTTTCGCCCTCTTTATGGCCTTCTTGAAAACTTTGAGTTCGTCTTTGTATGGTTGCCAAAGACCTGTTTGCTTAGTGTAGTGATACACATTACTTGTTAAACACTTGTTCTTAAAAACCTTTGAATTATAAAAATATCTTGTTACATTTATTTATGTACGATCAATTTTGAGTTGAAAATTTTTATATTCATTCATTCGTTTTTTTGATCTCTTAAAATAAATACATAGAAGTTTATTGAAAATAAAATTAAATATTTCTATTTTAATATACCATAAAATTTGGCGATCCTGCCAGGAGTCCTGCATATGAAATTACGCCGCTGTGTTCAGTGATACCAAGAATACAACCAATTAGTGGTCGTTGCGGACTTCGCCATCCCAGCTCACAAACACAAATCAGTTGTGCTCTAGTGCGTTCCACGAAATCACCGGAGAAGCTTCACTCTACACACGCGTTGGTACACCATTTTTGAGCGTGTGCCATATTCTCAAAGGGAGCCACACTTGAGCGGCGTCTACAACAGTTCCTATCCACATTACATACTCTAGCCGCAGCAGCAGGGTGGTCAACGGGGCGAGCACGGTAAGGAGCAACATTTATTGCCACTACCACCACTCAAACCAGAACCAGCGCAGTAACTGCACTTGACTTCGCTGCTCAAAATAATTGCATAAACCGCAACTGCTACAGAAAGAGGAATATTCCAGCAGGTTATTTAGCAGCAACAGCAATCGCAACAAACACTACAGTTAGAACATCATCAGCAGCAGCAGCAGCAGCAACAACAACAACAAATTCATTCACAGCAGTAGCAACAACAACAACGGCGAGACATTCAGCATCCAAACCGTCATCAAGCAAAACATCTAAATAGATAAGTTTATGTTAACGTAGTTTAGTTGTGTTAAATTTTACACTCAGACAATTTTACTTTATTTTTAAATACAAAAAACAGTTAATTTTTGTAAATCTTCTTCCAATATGTTGCGTTCTCCTCAAGACAAAGGTGATGGGAATAGACTTGGTAGGTCTTTGATTGACATTGAAGATCCTTGTGAGGTGTCACAAGATAATATACGTAATCCGTATGACAGGTCTGAAATTTGTGCTACTTCGGTAAAATTACCACAATTTTGGTCTAACTGTCCTGAAGCATGGTTCGTGCATGCCGAGATGCAATTTGCTACAAAGGTAATTAGTAGGGATTCGACCAAGTACGAGTTCGTTATAACTGCCTTGCCTCAAGAAGTTATTGCGAATGTACTTGATGTTATACAAAATCCACCTCAGACTGAGACTTATGAAAATTTAAAAAAAGTTCTCATTGACCGACATTCTTTAAGCGAGCAGAGAAGACTTGATAAAATTTTGTCAGATACTGAGATAGGGGATCGCAGACCTTCCGAGTATTATAGGACCCTTGGTCAGTTAGCGGGTAGCACTATAGACCCGATTTTCTTAAAAAATATTTGGTTGCGGAAACTACCTAAAAGTTTGCGTGTTGCATTAACCAGCGCTAATTTAAATAATATTAATGATCTCTTGCAACTCGCAGATAAAATTTGGGAAATTACCAGTGGTAGTGAAATTTGTGCTGTTAAAAGTAAAGTACTTACTTCTTCAAATAATTTTGAAAAGGGAAAATTGTGGAAGATTTAGCGAAGGTTACGACGAAAATGTGTGAAAGTTTTAATCGTTTGCAGTTGGACATTAATGAGATTAAAACGCAAATATATGATAGACCATCACGATCACGAAGGAGGTATTTTAGTAATAATAAAAATTCCCAGTCACGTAGTAAGTCTCAATCTAAAAATTGGGTCTGTCGGTACCATTTCCGTTTTGGTAGTAAAGCACGTAAGTGTGAAGAACCGTGTGCCTTTAAAAGAAATAATTCTGACTCGACAAACTAGGACATGCTGTTGTTGCAGCGACTAACAATGGCAATTTGAAATT